AAGTCACCAGAAACTGACACTTGGGTGTGTCTGCTGTCCTCTTTGGTTTCTCAGCTTCTCTGTCATTTGAGAGTTGCTTTGTGCATACCATTCTTTCATGGAACATGTGGTATCTGGGACACGATGGACATGTCTGTGGAAGGTCCCAGCTCAGGGCCTGTGTCTGGAGAGGGTATGTCACATCTACCTATGGACCTCAGTTTCCTAATCTTTATTGTTGTTTGCTTGATCTATCACCTGAGAGAGGTGTGCTAACATCTCCTACTGTTAATTTATCAACTTTCATGTTGCTTTCTTTGCTTTTTTCTTTTGCTTTATGTATTTTGAAATAATGATATTAGGTGCATGCAAGTGTAGGACTGTTCTATCTTTCTGATGAATTGGATCTCTTATCCATCTTATCAACAAAAGTGATCCTTTTGTCTCTCATAATGCTTTTGCCCTGAAGTTTATTTTGACTAAATGAAAATAGATATACCAGCTTTCTTTGGTTAGTATTTGACAGATTTTTCTATCCTTTTCTCTTTTTTTTTTTGAGTTGGAGTCTCACTCTGTTGCCCAGGCCGGAGTGCAGTGGCATGCCCATGATCACCACAGCCTCAACATGCTGGGCTCAGGTGATCCTTCACCTCAGCTTTCTAAGTAGCTGGAACTACAGGCACGCGTCACCATGCCAGGCTAATTTTTTGATTTATTGTAGAGATGAGGTCTCGCCAAATTGCCCAGGCTGGTCTCGAACTCATGGGCTCAGGCAATCCTCTTAACTCGGCCTCCCAAAGTACTGGGATTATAGGTGTGAGCCATTGCACCTGGCCTTCATCCTTTTATTTTCAACCTCTCCATATGCTTATGTTTTAAATATGCTTCTTATGAACAGCTTAAGACCAGATTCATTTATTTTTGTCTAGTCTGGCAATCTTTTTCTTTAAACTGAAGCATTTAGCCCATTTACATTTATTAAAATACTGATACGTGCATGTGCACACATGCACATATTTATTTATTTATTGTATATTTCCCACCTTTTCTAAATTTATTTTTCCATTCTGCTTTCTTGATTATTTTTCTTATTCCATTTTTACCCTTTTAAATTTTTTACTTATTCTTTGTATTGAGGGTCTCACTCCATCACCCAGGCTGGAGTACTGTGGCACACTCACAGCCACCGCAGCTCGACCTGCTGGGCTCAGGGGATCCTTCCGCCTCAGCCGTCTAAGTAGCTGGAACTATAGGCATGCACCACCACACTGGGTTAATTTTTTGATTTATTGTAGAGATGAGGTTTCACCAAGTTGCCCAGGCTGGCCTTGAACCCATGGACTCAGGCAATCCTCTCATCTCAGCCTCCCAAAGTGGGGGATTATAGGCATGAGCCACCACGCCCGACTATTTTATATTTAAACATAGAGATAGGGTCTCACTATGTTGCTCAGGCTGGTCTTGAACTTCTGGCCTCAAGTGATCCTCCTGCCTTGACCTCCCAAGGTGTTGGGATAACACCTGAAATTGCAGTGTACCAAACTCATTTTTCCCCTTTACGAGTTTGCAAATTATACCTTTTTTACCATTATGGGTGGTTGCACCAGAAATCTTAAGATGCTTATTTTGTCTAAGTCTAAAGTTAATATCTTGGCCGGTGGCTCATCCTGTAATCCAAGCGCTTTGGGAGGTCGAGGTGAGTGGATTGCCTGAGCCCGTGGGTTCGAGACCTGCCTGGGCAGGTAGGCGAGACCTCATCTCTACAAAAAATCAAAAATTAGCCGGGCGTGGTAGCGTGCGCCTGTAGTTCCATCTACTTGGAAGACTGAGGCAGAAGGATTGCAGGAGCCCAGCAGGTCGAGGCTGCAGTGACCGGTAGTGGCCACTGCACTCCAGTCTGGGTGACAGAGTGAGACTCCAACTCAAAAAAAAAAAATCTTTAATCTGTCCTCAAATGGTACAAGAACTTTAGAAAGAACTCTGATCACCCCTCCCCTGGGTTATACACAATTGTTTTTACATATTTGAGTTTTATCTTGTTTTAAGCCTAGAAGATATTGCCATTATTGTTTATACAATGTTTTTTAGAATTACTCCCACATGTACCACTTTCTTTGCTCTACATTCCTTCTTGTCTCTCATATTTTCCATCTGAGATCACTTTCTTTCTGCCTGCTGGTGGCAAATAGTTTTTGTTTGTATCATGTCATTATTTTTTCTTACTCTTAAAATATCTTTTCACTGGTTTAGAACTTTAAAAAAATTAATACAAATGAATTCTTATTTATTATTTGGAGAAATACAGTTATATCCACCAGCTGCTGTTCCAGTTTAGACTACATTATCACCTATTTCTTCAAGCACACAGCAAAAGAGGGCAAGAAGACACTTTGACACAGAGAGGTTACCCAAGCTAATCAGACTATTACATTTTATGCAGCAAAACCCAGATGTCCTGTAGCAGGTAAGTGGTCATTGGTCACCTAGCTTGAGAAACAGAGTTTCAGCCAGGCATGATGGCTCATGCCTATAATTCCACTACTTTGAGAGGCTGAGATGGGAGGATCTCTTGAGGCAAGGAAATCAAGACCAGCTGGGACAACATAGCAAGACCCACATCTCTACAAAAATAAAAAAATTAGCAGGGTATGACGGCACATACCTGCAGTCCCAGCTACTTGGGGAGGTTGAGGCAGAAGGATCACTTGAGCTTGGGAGTTCGAGTCTGCAGTGAGCTATGCTCATGCCTATGAATAGCCACTGCACTCCAGCCTGGATGACAGAGCGAGACCCTGTCTCTAAAAAATAAAAATTAAAAGAAACAGTTTCTCAGAAGCCAAGCTATCCCTGAATATGTCTTAGAGCAACTGATCTTGCCAAAACATTCCACCGGTTATTGCCAAGGTTTATCTTCCCCAAAAGTGGGATAGAAGTCCTAAGAAGCCCTGTGTCAGTTATCTCACCTCGGTGGAACTAGAATTCAAAAAGAGGATATATTGACTGGGCTCGGTGGCTCAGCCTATAATCCCAGCATTTTGGGAGGCCGAGGTGAATGGATTGCCTGAGCCCGCGGATTCGAGACCCGCCTGGGCAACTTGGCAAGACCTCATCTCTACAATAAATCAAAATGAGCC